CAAACGTGAATAAACGTGCCAAAGGCTTTTTGAGGCTTCCAAAGAGTCTTCTTAGCCGACTTCCATGCAGACCTGTCGTAAAAACGGGCGGTTTCTGAATAATTATAGGCGTGACTTTCATATATGCGCTAGTTTTAAGCGCTGCATTTATTAAACAGCCGCAGGTGCGTACTGGTGCTCGAATCTGTGCAAATCTCACACGTTCATAAATTCCACGTCAGATCTTGCGTATCTGGCATCTACACCCAAAATTCACACCTTTTTCTGCGCAAGTTTCATAAATGAGAGCCATTGACACATTGCCTCCTCTGCGGTTTTCTGTTGCCTTTGTTTTGGCTTAATTGACGTGTCCCAAGTTAGCCTGCTTCTCCCCGTCTGCGCACTGGTGTGTCCCTAACCACACGGAAAACAGGGTGCCCGTGTGCACACTCTTTACCCTGGGTCTTGTCGGTCGGGCGGACGTCTAGAATTTAACTTGTAATAATCTTTTTATTTTATTTTTATTATTAGCGCTTTTTAATGAAAAATAATCTTAACTGTGCATAAAATGAGTGTTAATTGAATACATTATGTGATGAATAAAGTTGTGAATTAACTGGAATCGGTTGCCTTGTCCTGCATCTCAGCCAACATTATCTTCTGCTAAAGGGAAGAAGTTATGGCTTCTGGCTTTTCCAGGGTGGCCAGATTCAGATTCAGACTACTGTATTTATCCCACCAGGGGCAAATCGCTGTAATAACTGTTTTGAAATACATTTTGATAGTCAGGCTTACAGCACTTTGTGACCACGTGATGAGCTGTGCGAGCATGTCCACAGTACACACCATGTACATAAACATGACTGCACGTTCTGAGCTGTTTTACATGAGCACCAGGTGCTCGTTGCTGCGGTGCTGTTGCGTAAGCACTTTATCAGCTGTTGTGGAGCGAGTGTGTCTACTCAGCACTGTCCTATCAGTCTGTCTATAAAACTGAAGAAAAAACTGGAGAAAATATGTTTGCGGCTGATGTCAATGTCAAATGTGTTGGGAATTGTAAACATGGAAAAATATTTAACTAAGTGATCTGCTGAAAAAAAATATATATATATATCAGCTCTATACTGAAGGGTGGAACTTCATTTGACTTTCCCACAAGTAAGTAAGTAAGTAAGTAATCTTTATTTATATACCGCCTTTCACAGACCTGAGTCACAAAGCGGTTTACACCTGTTATTTTTGGGCATTTTGTCCACTCACTCCACACAGAGATGGAAGCGGGGTCACAAGACTCAATCATGGTGGAGGAATGAATGTTTACTTTGCAAACATCAAAACCAGGTCTGAACCAATTCTGGACCAGAACTGAAAGACGGATGCACTTTATCCTGAAACAGAAAGCAAATAAATTAATATGGCATAGCATTATATTTTATAATATTTCAACTATCATTTAAATACTCTAATTGTTGCATGGCTCTTAGCATTAAAAAAATGTTCTTTTCTAATAGCCTATGATATTGGTTAGGGCCAACATCCAACAGATCTCCACTCTGATGGCTCCTGTTGACTCATGTTGACTCATGTTGGCCCAAGATGGCTGTAAACCTGTTGCTAGATACAGTGCTTCAACATCTGCCAACTCCGTATGCCGTGTGATTGTTCTGCGATTGCGCATTAAGCCTCGGTGGTGGCACTGTGGAGTGGATAGTCAGTGCTTGTGACCGCTGTGGAAGTGAAAAAGCAAGCACCGAATCACTGGACCGTAAATCAGCAGTGCACGGCATCACGCACACAGTCATGCTGGGTTTTTACCCGGTTCAGGCTTGGAAAAAAATGTCTAGGTCTGGCTTGGCTGGGTTTGTGCAGAATCCTCTCGAGTATGGGCCGGGACGGGCCTAGGTTTTTAGTCCTGATTACAAGTAAAGTTTACGCAAAATTGTTAATGAAACCTTTCCCTCCAGGAAGCACAGTTTACTCCAAATCATTTATGAATCTCACTCTCCATGAGAAAAAGTTTCTTCTAAACCATTAATGAAACCTTACAGTACTCTTCATGAAGTAAAGTCATCTCTGAAACAGCCCTTTCTGTTGTGATGCAGAGGCTCTGACTCATGAAAACACTTAATTGAAGGTGTCTGGATTGAGTACCTGGTAGTATTGGGGTGCAATACTGATGATGTGTCAATGAATTATTTTATAAAAACCCAGACCCAGAAAGTCCCAGGATCCTTAAAAGCATCCAAGTATCTACAGGAAATGATAGGGTGACATCTTGTTGGACAAGTCCTGATAGCTGCACCATTGTCTATCGTTGCACAGCACTGTTACTCAGCACATTCACTGCTCATCATGGTCCAGCCAAACTGATCTTGCCAAGATGTATTTCTGAAAGTGTTTGAAGCACCAACTGTTCTGGGCATGTGCAGGATTCAAATGTTGACGTTTTTTTTTGGTTATTTATATAGCGGCTTTCACAGACAGTCACAAAGCGCTATTCAATTGTTGTGGGCATTTGCCTCTCACTCCACACAGAGATTGGTGCGCGGTTGCCGTACATGAGGAGGTGCACAAATATAAATTAGGTAAATTTGATATACAAATTCATTCATTCTCTTTGAGTAATTATAAATGTACTTATATATTTCAAATCTTCCCCCTGTGGGACTAATAAAGGATCTCTATACTTCAGACAGGTAATTACCCAGAACAATAGCAACCGGGTTGCACTGCTTAGCTCAGATTTTAACAAACCACTCTGGCATCAATTTGTAGTTTGTATTATTTTTTTCAGAGAACTGAAATGATTGATCATGAGTTTTAGTGAAGAGGATGTGCCAAGTCTGGGATCGTGTCATAAATTCCGACAGAAGACATGTTTTATTGTCAATGGTAGAGACAGCACGAACAAAGCACACGATCACAGATACAAGAGAATGCAAGTGTATTATACAGAGCGGAGGCATGGAGACCTCCAATCAGCAGCTGCCACAGTGTGCTTGTAGCTTGGCCTTCAGATAGACAAAACAAGGGAAAAGTACTGGCTTCTGCACATTGATAGAATGATGAGTTTAACTTTAACAAAAGTTGCTTCAAAGTGTTATGAAATCTCACATTAGTTTAACACATATAGACAACGCAGCAGTGATTTTCCAGACAGTTATTAGCTGTTAGCTGTTGCACAACTGTCCATAAAGTGTTTGAGTGGAGGTTATGTAATTTCAACGAGCTGTATGTCCCAATAGAAGGCCTAAATCACCGTGAACATCGTGGATCTGCGAGGGGTGAATTTCTTGCTTTCTGCTCTGTGCAAGTGGTTTGAGCAGAGTCTGCAGGGCCTTTGATGCGACCATGTTTTTTCTGACCTCACGATCTTTTCAGTGTCACATGTTGAAAAGACGTTCTTCAACTTGACATGATGCTAACACTTTTAGTCGTAAGACTTGTACAACAACAGAGCTCGATGTAAGCAAACAGACTGGTGCTCGTGGGACTGAGGAGAGAGTCTGTGCTCACATGTTCAGGCATGTTCGTTGTTTGTGATGATTTTTCTCCTGTCAATGAATGCTGAGCACCTCCTGCAGGTGGGCTTCTCCAGCTCAATGTCATGACATGATTTGAGCCGATGTGTTTTCCTGCCTCTTGAGAATTAAAGAGAAAGATGGCTCTCTAAATAAAGCTGGAGAGAATCAAATAAAAAAAACTACTTTGGACATGTAAGGCCAAATAGCATTTTAATGATATAAGATGGTAAAGGGTTCAGTTTTATGTTATCCATTTGGCTAGTATACCAAAACGTAACATCTAAAAGTAACAAGTTGCATCCTCTGTGGAATATGGTCTTATGACATTGGGGCCCAATGCTCAGTCCTCTTCTTGTATATTTAGCTCAGAAAGCATAACTGCAAACATACAGTGACGTGCAGCCATGGGGGGCAGGTGAAGCCTGGCCTCACCAGTCCTGTCAAGAATCAAAAAATAAAACTGTATTTATTTTGCACATATATGGGATAGTCGGGTGGTCCAGCTCATGGAGGGAGATCTTTGGGTGAGACTTAAAGTCTGGAGGATCTTGCATTGGAGAAACAACAACAAACTTGCCTCTAATTTTTTTCTTGTATGTACGTTATTTTTTAAAGATTGCTCAGTTAAGCATAAAGTAGAAGAGCAAAAAGTTAAACTTGCTATTCTATTAGAGTAACTTTCCTCGGAGGTAACGTTTGATTTGTCCAAGTCAAAGTTAGAAGGATTATATGTACAGATCATTATACATATTAATTTAATTTTCAAAATGTCCTACAGGGGATTCAGACTCTCAGCCGTGTTTTAACATAATGCATAGCATGTTTAGCTAACATGGGCTAGAAAGACTTGGGATATGCTTAAATGATGTGGAAAAAACAACTGCTTGGCTATTTCTGGTATATTTACAGAACTAGCAAAAAATTGACTGTGAATTTTAAATGTTTTCGTTTTTTTATTTTACACTTTTTATCCTGGTCCTTTTTCTTTGCAACAGACGTTTAGGAGGTCTGCTGACAATTTGGCAGATATATTGTGCCAGTTTTGTGGACAATGATACGTTTTCTATTATGTGATGAATGTGTCACACAATTTCAATCATTTGCAAAGTGGATTAAAAAAACTGTTCTATGTCTACTGTGCAGCACCTTTAACTCCATGTTGTTTGTCCCAACAAAAAGAGTCATATAAAATTAAAACCAAACCACAACATGCTCCCATCTAATGTTATCTTTTGCATACTTTGAAGCTTTGGGCAGAGAGCTGATTGTCTGAGTCAAAGGCCAAAACCACAGGCATGTGTAAACTAGTGATAGAACCAGTTATGAGAACTTTTTAACAATATATAGTTTTTAGGTGTTTAAACTCTGATGGGTTTGAAATATGGTGGAATCGCATTCTGCTTCAGGTTGAACTCCGTAGTGACCCCAGCCACAGGGCCAGGCCTCCAGCTCTCGGCCAATGGGCCTGTCCCAAGAGCTGACCAATGAGATGGCTGCATGACAGGGCTGCCCACGTCACTGGCTCGTGCAGCCATGAGGTCCACACGGGGGTTGCTCAAGCTCCTGAATCACTACTGGATCATGGAGTGCACGATTATAATTGTTAAAAGCTGGAATACCTCTTTATTAAGAAACAAAAATTTAACTATGTCATAGAACGTATGAAATAGCTTGTTCCTTGCTCTCAAAACAGTTTGGTTTCATCACTAGTTTTGGTCTGGAGCACATTGTTAGACCAGATTTACCAAAGGAGGGAGTGTTTTAGGTAAAATATGAAAATACAAGCAATTACTCATGAGGAATGAGACAGAAATAACTTCTTCTCCCATTGGCAAATGTTGTTTTAAGACAGCCAAAGATCAATTCTGTTCAATTCAAGCAAATCTTAACTCATTATCTTATTTAAGTTGGCAAAAGATGTTGTTTCTAATAAGAAGGCGGTATGTCATGGTCTGATTCCTTCAATACATTTGACTTTCACATGTGTTAATTATGGACCAAAAAAGTGAACCCAGCTTTAAGTAGATTGATGTTTCTATTTCACAAAATCACAGCAGCAGTTGTCTCGAGGGGCCTTACAGAATTGTTGATTCACTAACAAGAATATTTCTGTTCACTTAGTGGAATGCAAAGAAATAAAAGAATAATCACATATGAGTCACGAGAGCCACGATCATGGAAGATTCTATCAGGTCCTTCTTTGAGTTTGAGTCAGCTCTGTGGAGAGGCGAGCTTGCACAAGCAGCAGCTAATTTGAAACCAACCTTTTTTCCTGCTGTCAGTTCTATTGTGTGGTGGCTGGGAGATGATTTCTGGCTTATTTTGGAGGTCTCAGCATGTACAGCTTTGAAACCCTGCTTAATCCTGCTTTAGATAAAAACACCCTTACGATGACCAGGCTTGCCTCTCCACAAACCTGACTCAGATAAAGGGTTGTGTTGTTTTTGCCTTTGAGCCTGAAGGTGGTGGGTTTGAACCCACTGCAAGACCTTCTCCACTGACTCAACTGATGCCTGCTGTTGTTGTGTCCTTGGGCAAGACACTTTGCCTATAAGAAGTGAGGAAGTAAAGACACAACAATCAATAAATCAATCAACTTTTATTTGTAGAGCGCCTTTCCTACACAACCCATGTTACATCATGCATATATCCTAGACATTAAAATCCACACGGCATCAGACGTCAGTGAGAGCAGTTGGACTAGGTCTCTTGGTGGGCTCAAACCCACGACCTTCAGGCCCAAAGGCCAAGGCTCTCTGATTTGTTTGTAGCATTCATCTAAGAGAGAGCCATGCGAGTCACTATTTGACTCTGGTTGGCGAGCGAGGGGGCTCTACTCTTCATCACTTTTCTGTCTTTCAGCTTTTTCATAGACTAAAAAATAATGTCAGAAGCAAACAGTGAGAGTGAGGGACTAGTGACATGGACTTTTGGTTTAAAAATTGGGTACCCCAGCTTTAAATTACGTGTATTTCTATTGACTGTCATTATTTTATTGCATCTAGTTGCGTTTGCATTAGGGTCTATTAAATATGTACAAATGATTGTACTTTTGAGCATATTAAAGTTGTCTTATTGCACAAATCTCTATTTCACCTGATCATTCATTCACATCCCGTTATCTCATGTGTCATAAATGTGTAACAGTGAGGGGACTTGTGGAACACCGCCAAACTATTTGACGTCAACAACACACACACACACACACACACCCCTCCTCTGTGGGATGTCCTGACACATAAATACAACACCAGCGCAGCACTCAGCAAGAAGCTCCCGAGACCACAACACAAGCTCAAGGTAAACTCATCAACCATTTGTACTTATTTTACCATTTAATTGTTTTCAACACGAGAAATGCATTGGAATGAACATTTCTTATATGCAGAAAATAATTCTATAATATATCATTTGAATATTTTAAAATTCTAGTAAATGCATAATATTATTTTATCAGTTGTGACATCAGTTGTGACAAAATAGACTGGATTTAACAAATATTATTATCAAATATTTTATATAATGAATACAGCAGTTTTGGTTATAATAGTTCTTTTTTGTGAAGATTGCTGTTCACTTTGCGATTATAAATTTCAAACTAGAACGTACGCACGGGGAGCACATACCCCGCCAACATCTCAACATTTTGAGTAGAGGTCTTCCTCCCATCACGCCTCATCTACACACCACACTTCAGCTCCTTCTGTCCTGTAGTGTTTGTGCTATCCTGCTACAGACAAACACACACACATACTTACACACACACATGCACACGCACAATTACAAAAACCCTCTGTTGACGAGCAACTTATGACTGCAATTGATTAGGGCACTGAGCATAAAAGGTCACAGGTCAGGAAAGTTCTAGAATGCTTGTTAAATTAAACACAGCACAGTTTAATTGAAGGCACTCTAAACATATTATCACATGTTTTTATCTTACTTTTGGACATCCAAAAATGTTGATTTTTACTTGATCCTTGTGTAAGACATGTACTGTATGCTGACACAAGTGTTGCATGCAGCCTGCAGGTTGGTATGTACAGTATGTTTTTACTTCCCCTATTTTTCTCGTCTGCTGTTTCAGAGTGGGGAAAAAACAGAAGATTTAACACAAATTACCTTTGTTATCAAACAGTAAAGTTAGACATAAAATACTGACATTTTTTATATAATGTTTTTATATCAGGTTTAAAAATGCACTTGTTAGGGTTATGTTTTTTGTACAATAGATGACAGAGAGCATCTATGACAGGTCAAGACAAAAGTTGCACTATTTTTCTCCCTAAACAATTGCAGTACGTGCTTAGAGTCTGATCAATCCAGGGAAACTCACATCTTTCATTCTTATCCATATATTTTCTAAATGAGAAATGCTCATGACCACATGATATATCCAAGTAAATACTTTCAAAATCACATTCAAAGCTATAGGGTACCTTGTTCATCCCAACCAAAAAGAGTCATGAGTCACTTTTTGACTCTTTAGGCTGAAAACTGATTGACTGAGTGAGGGTGGTCCTCACTTTTTTAAGCTGGTCCAAAGATGTGACGGAGGACAAAATACATGTCTCAAAAACTGTTTTGAGAGGAAGCAGTTTGATGGATTTGAGTTATTTTGTGGCTTGAAAGTCAGCTCTTGGGGCCAACATTGTCAACGGTATGAATTAAAAACTCTTTCCTCTCCTCTCTCTAGGTCCCAGCACTCCTTGTTTCCTACCTCCTAGCTCCTCGAGATGCCTCCTCAGCTGCAGTCCCAGACCGCGGGTGGTGTGCGGGTGGTCCAGGGCGATATGGCCACACTCAGCTCAGCCGTGCGGGACTTTGTGGAGGCCAACGTGTCCTTGTGCCAGCCCGAAAGCCTGCACATCTGTGATGGCTCCGAAGAGGAGAACCAGGCTTTGCTGGTGCAGGTCGAGGAACAGGGTCTGATCAAGAGGCTGCCCAAGTACCACAACTGGTGAGAAGGCTGTGTTAAAACATTCATGGAGCGAAATCATAGAGTGAAACTTTATTGGAGAGATCTTGCACTTGAGAAAACATACAAACAAACTTTCTTCTAATTTGTTTTCATGGTTCCTCAGTTAAACACAAAGTTTCACAAAGACCAACAAATGAACTAGTGAAATGTATATTTTTGCTTATCTAACTAGAGTAACTTTCCGTGGAGGTAACTTTTTGTTGTTGTCAAAGTTAGAGCGATCATTTGCTTATTGAGAATTCCACAGTGGCTGAGTGGATAGTATTCTCGCTTCTCAGCAAGAGGGTCCTTAGTTCGAACTGGGTTTTTCTAAGTGGGGTGTACATGTTCTTCCCGTGCCTGTGTAGGTTTCCTCCGGGTGCTCCGGTTTCCTCCGGGTGTTCCGGTTTCCCCTACCACTAAAAACATATACAATAGATAAAATCCTCCAGCGGTCCTGACCAAGCCGCGCATCAACATCTGGAGATGGGTTCCCAGGCGCTGTACATTGGCGACCACTAGTCCTGACGTAAGCCTTAGCGGCATCAGGATGAATGGCAGAGGATGAATGGCCCTACAGGGATAAATAAAGTACCTTTAACTTTCCCTTGCGGCCGTACAGTCCATAGATCATAGATGGTAGTTTATTGGGCTGATTTTTCCATTTATTTGTTTTAGGGACAGTCGAGCTTGTCATTATTGAGATTTTTCTTTAGTGATGGCATCATCCATCCATCCATCTTCTTCCCCTTAATCCATTTCTGGGTCAGGGGGGGGTGGCTGTCAGAGATGCACCCAGTACACATAGCACCAGCCCTTCACTGATCCTCCTGCAGGTGGTGAGTCCACAGGAGCCTTGATCTTTCAGTGGGGTTTCAGGCAAAGTGGGGTTAAGTGTCTAGCCCAAGGACACAACGGCAGCAGACATCAGTGGGAGTCGGTGGATAAGGTTCCATGGTGGGCTTGAACCCACGACCATCTGGCCCAAAGGCCAATGCTCTACCAACTGAGCCACTGTCGCCCATAATATGGCATCATGTTGATATTATAGACAAACATGGATACAACTGATCCACAGAATGTTTAGATATCAATCTCAGATCCCACATGTTCTGGTGAAAGACACTTCAGCATCACCATATAGGACTCATCCATCTGTGGCAGCTAATCTTTAAGTCATATACTTGTTACAACCTTTTTATCAAAATTCATGAATTTTAATATCAACTTTTTTCCAAACCGTGGCAGTTGTCTCCAAAGTGACTGTGATGCTTGTTGAGTCCAGTTTTCCTGAAGTGGAGCATCTGGTTTGGCAGCATTTAGATCCTTTGTGACGGCATAGTGTTGTTGTGGGCCCAAACACCTGCTCACTCCTCTGTCTGTATGTCCATGTTTCACTGATGAAAGCCTTTAGACTTTTTCTAACAGGATTCACATGCAGTAGTATGGAAGCCCGTTTCCGCCATGTAAAAAAAAAAAAAGCAAACAGAAAGTCAAAATTTTGAGTTTAAAACTCAAAATTACAACTTTTAAAAGTCAAAATTTCGACTTTAAAAGTCAAAATTACGAGTTTTCAACTGCGCATGTGCAGTTGAAAACTCGTATGTGTTGTTGTCTGGAACGGTCTCTGGACATCCTTCACCTGCAGATTATGTGAAGATATTGCTGACAGCGACCACTGCATCCTTGAAGTAGCCAGAAATAATGTTGTTTGATTGATTCTGTAAAACTTTCCTGTTTAAGCCCCAGACCGCGGTCGTAGGACGCAGGGAGGAGCTGTCTTTTTTTTATTTATGTTAAATTCAATTTACATATATACAACATTTAAATCAAACGACTTCTTATTTCGACATAGTAACAAATAATGTGAGCAATACGTTTTTATAATAAATCAAAGGAAAATGAGCCATCGAGACATTCCAATCCAATCTGCATGTTCAATCCATCATCTGACCAGACGATGGCGCTGAGAGGGGTCCACACGGAGCGAGTATTTCCACGGCTGAAAGGATGCGCTTTCTACGTGTTGAGTACGGGGTTTTATTCATGCATCTATAATGGGTTTAACTCCCTTTTCAAAGACCCTCACTGTTATCTGCGGAGTTATTTCTCCGGATTGTTGCTAAAAGAGTCGTGGGCTTTATTTTGTCACAATAAAATAATCAGACAAGGTACTTATTCCCTGTATGTCTCTGTGTTCTTGCTCATACGCCAACAACTTTACCCTCACGCTCGCTCCATCAGCTCACCCCGCGCTCACGTTTCGGCCGCGCACGCACACACGTCACATACTCTTCAATGCACTGATCGCAATTCCAAAAGGGTAATATTGTCAGTGCCCGTGACTGTGGTTCTCTGTCTGCGCACCTCTCTCACTGTCCAGTAATCGCGAACGGTCTCTCTGTCAGTCACAATATCATTCACTGCATTTCTGGTGCATCCATCGATAGCCGTGATACTGACCAGATGTCACCAGTTGATGCTCAATGACTTTGAACAGCCGCATGTGTTTTATTATTAATCTTCCACAGTCCGTTTAGGATAAACTAAATAGAGGCTTCTGAAGCGGATTCTAATCATAAACGGAGAGACCGTTTGCATTTTAACGCGATTACTACCACAACATTATTGCTGCTACTTCATGGATGTGGTCACTGTCTGTAGGAAATATCTTCACATAATCTGCAGGTAGAGGATGACCCATGGTCATGGATCTATAACAGGGATGACCAGAGACCGTTCCAGACAACAACACATACGAGTTTTCAACTGCACATGCGCAGTTGAAAACTCGTAATTTTGTCTTTTAAAGTCGAAATTTTGACTTTCTGTAGGCTTTTTTTTTTTTTTTTACATGGCGGAAACGGGCTTCCATACAGTAGAGATCTAGAGATAATCTAGATAATAGTAGAGATAATCTTTTTTTTTTTTCCTGGAATGTTCCACAATACGCATTTAAAGTAGTATTTAATTGATATTTTACTTATCCATACATATTTGTTACAGCCACATTGCAACAAGAGTCCATTGTTCCAAAAACAGTCATCCTAATGTCAATCATTACCTCTAAATTTGTTTTGTGAGTTTTTCCAGTTGCAAAATTACTTTCAACTGTGCCTTTCAATTAGATTGTGACATGTTGTAATTATAATTATTCCTATTTAGGACTTTTAACCACTGAATTGTTGCTGCATTCTAGTCATCTTGTCATGTCAATTCATTCACTATTATAATACTTTCACATTGTGCCATGTTTAAGCGCAAATGAAAAATAATATGTTTAAAAACACATTATTTAAGCCCTTAAAAATGATAATGATTGTCTGAAGGGTAAATAATGCTATTGGCCTGTCCTGTCCCTATGCTACCGCCAGAAGAAGCGGTAATATTTATGGATATATGTTTGTGCCAGAAATATCCGTAATAGAAGCATGGATGGATCCAAAAACAACTCAAAGTCTGTTTTTTGACCATGTTGAACAACACGATGACATTTTTCATAATTTGTCTCATTTAAAGAATTCAATCATTCACCCTAAATCACAACAGTCTTGGAATACTTTACAATGTATTGAATTCACCAACAACAGATCAGATAATCAGACAGTTGAGAATCAAACACAAGAAATAACCTCTTTTGTTATTTTGATGTATATTTTGGTTTAGGATGCTCTTTAAACAATGCCCTTATATACAGTAGTGAGTTATTTGATCAGTGCATTCATAAACTTGCTGCTTGTTTTGTCCCGTGCAGTTGGTTGGCACGCACAGACCCCAGAGATGTGGCCCGAGTGGAGAGTAAGACGGTGATAGTGACCCCAGAGAAGAGTGACACAGCTCCCTCTCCGGTGGGAGGGGGCCACAGTCAGCTGGGCCGGTGGATGTCCCCAGAGGAGTTCGACAAGGCCATCACGCAGAGGTTTCCAGGCTGCATGAAAGGTACCATTGGATAAGCATGATAGTAATCAAGAAGTTTTAAATCTAAATGTGTGTTCTCTGTATGATGGTATCACTTTTTAGGGAACAAATTTATAGTTTCAGATTATAAGATGAATTATAGAAGTAAATGGACTTCTAAACAATATTCTAATTTTCCAAAGTTTCACCTGGAAAATAAGAATAACTAAACTGGAACAGAACAGTGGAAAATACTGTCTTTTAAAGTTGGAGGAGGTCACATGGATTTTATATTGGATATTTAAATACATTAATGAGAAATGGGTTCCTCCTTCCTCCTCCGTCGAGCAAAGACGTGTCTTAGTCCGCTCCTGCTTCTGAACGGCTTGCTATCTCCTGTTTTTGTCTTTTTTCCTGGAGCTTTGCCACAGACAACTTTAACAGAATGGAAATGATTAATTGGTCCCTCAACGCAATTGATTCTATCTTTTCAACACGTAAGCGTGGGTCTGGAGAGCCCGTGTGTCCGGACGGGACTTCACCAGCGGGGTATACGCTTGACAGCTGGAACAAGTGGCAGCCCCTCTGTCTGTCGACCCTGTCCATTGAAGATTCGGAAGACGTATATATCTTTGGCATTTTGGTGGTGGGAATCCTCCTGTTTGGGTTTGGAGCGATCCTCTTCTACCACAAATTCGGAGGCATGGCAGTTCGCAAGATTCACGACCTGCTGGCCGATAAAATTGATGGGATGTACAAGGAGCTTAGCCGTGTCGTGGTTGAGAGTGCCGTGTCTGGACAAAGAAGAGTGGTTTTGGTGGAACAGTTGATCAAAGACCTCGCAGCTCGTTCACTTGATGGACATAAGACTTTGGAATTGAGATTGAATGACATTGTTTGTCAGGCTTGATCTCTCTGACCCGGCTTGGATTTGCCCCTGTGTACGGAGGTCTGAGGGCACCGGAATTCGGTTTAATTGGAATTAATAGAATATCTGCCTGCTTTTGACTGCGACATTGCAGGCGATGTGTTTTTCTCCTCCTGTGGCTTCTCTCCACTCTTATCTCACATTCCTCAGCCAAGGCCATAAACAAGGTCCCACAATCTACAACAACTCACACTATTTCAGTCTTCAGCAAGGATCCCCCACCCCCGCCTCCCTCTACCTATCCATCTTGCTCCCTCCCTCCCCTCCATTCCTTATTGTTTTCCTACTCACCCCCTCCCTGATCCCGCCCCCCTCTGACAGCTACATTGGGCCGGCCGAAGAGGTGCTCTTCCCGAGAAAAAAATCCGTGGTTTATAAAAAGCACAATGTGTCTATCCAATTGTCTGTGAACTGTATGTTATTGCTCTCTGCTGTTTCTTGCTGCACACAGCGCCGCAAATGGCGAAGTGGCACGCTCTCTGCCAAAACAATTTCCAAGTGATAACTTTGTTACTCACGTGGCAATAAAAATGATTCTGATTCTGATTCTGATTCTGATAAGAACTTACAGATGAATACAGATAAAAAACCACACATCTTAATACTCCCTGTCTCCTCCTACAGGCCGTACCATGTATGTGATCCCCTTCAGCATGGGTCCGCTGGGCTCCCCTCTCTCAAAGATTGGAGTGGAGCTGACCGACTCGCCCTATGTGGTGCTGAGCATGCGGGTGATGACCAGAATGGGAAAGACCGTCTTGTCCCACCTGGGCAACGGGGATTTTGTACGCTGCCTCCACTCTGTCGGATGTCCACTACCACTAAAACGTAAGAGCATAGTCTGCAGTTAGTAAAAGCAGTCATATCGACTAGTGGTTCCCAACCCTTTTTGTGCTGTGTACACTTTTCAGTGAATCGTAGACAGGTTACACGCTCCCAGTTGATGAGATGGGGGTGAAATTTTCTCATGTCCTTGGGGTGTAGAACTCATTTTGGTCAAGACCACAACTGTCTCTAGACTTAATTGTTTTACCAAAGTCTCCTTTTGTGGAAAGTTTGTTAACAACTCACAATTTAGCATCTGGATATTTTATTAAAAAGTCCTTTCAAGTATTTGCTCTATCAGTTTGATATTGCAGACTGATGGAGTAAACACTATTATTATTAATGTTCTGGGCCCATTGTTTGGAATATAATACATTATACAGTTAAAGATTATGAATAATGTGCCATAGTAGCCTATAAAAACCTCTTATTGTCAATGTTTGCTTGCTTTAAAAATAATTCCCACCTGTATCCCACGTAATACCGTTGCATACTCCTGGAGGCTGGCATACCTCCAGTTGGGAAACACTGATCTATATTATAAAATGATAAAAATATAGCTTGGATTCATTCCAAGCTATTTTTTATTATCTGCCATGTTTCTCTCTCCTGTAGGACCATTGGTAAACAACTGGCCATGCAACCCTGAGTTGACCCTGATCGGACACATCCCGGAGAAAAGGCAGATCATCTCCTTTGGCAGTGGCTATGGAGGAAACTCTCTGTTGGGAAAGAAATGCTTTGCCTTGCGCATCGCCTCCAGGATTGCCAAAGAGGAGGGCTGGCTCGCAGAACACATGCTGGTAAGAGTGAAGAAAATGTGGAAGAAACCAAAAAGAAAAGTTATGGACGAATGACTGAACAATTCAATTCTTTCCTTTGGACAACTGTTGGTTTGTCCAAAAATAAATTGATTAGCATTCAGGTACTGTATTTAGGCAAACTGCCTGGCCAAAAAGCAGGACTTTATGTCTTTTGATGATTTCAGATCTTGGGAGTGACCAACCCAGCCGGTGAGAAGAAGTACATGGCAGCAGCGTTCCCTTCGGCCTGTGGCAAAACCAACTTGGCCATGTTGAGGCCCACTCTCCCAGGCTGGAAAGTTGAGTGTGTGGGGGACGATATCGCCTGGATGAAGTTCGATGAACAGGGTGAGAAGACAAACTTTGAATGATACAGAAATGCCTATGTAGACACCATATACTGTAGTTTGATTGGTGGCTTTTTCTGTCTTTCTGGGATTTGCAACCCTTTAGATCCGAGGTTCATGTTTAGACTTTGGTTTAGTCCTATTCTTTTGACACAAACACATAGATTACCCAATATCTTTTGTTCTGTTCAGTCTGATTTCTTATCCTTATTTGATTCCTAAATGCTGTCCACCGCATTCTGTTTTTGAGTGTTTAAAAGCTTCTTTACAACCAATCATATCTCGTATCTTTTATTTCTGCACAATAGGAAATCTTCGCGCCATCAACCCTGAAAACGGATTCTTTGGCGTTGCTCCTGGCACTTCGGCCAAAACCAACCCCCATGCCATGTCCACCATCATTGAGAACACCATATTCACCAACGTGGCTGAGACCAGTGATGGAGGGGTGTTTTGGGAGGGCATGGACCAGGAGCTGCCAGAGGGCGTCACTGTCACCTCATGGAAGAACAAGCCATGGACCAAGGAAGATGGTGAGAGATTAGATAAGATCCTATGATATATATTCCAGAACATATACTACCAAATTTCCAAATTTTGGCCAGAGTGTACTTTACTTTTCTCTCCTCTACCTGGCTACATTTATGTCCCATGTTGATATCCATTGTTGAAATTGGTTAAAATTGTTCCATATGTCCTTTCCTGTCCTTTGCAGGGGAGCCATGCGCTCACCCAAACTCTCGTTTCTGCACCCCAGCCGGACAGTGCCCCATCATTGATCCGCAGTGGGAGTCTCCCGAGGGCGTCCCCATCGAGGCAATTATATTCGGGGGCAGGAGACCAGAAGGTGCAGAGCCTAAGACCTGCAGGTCAAACATTCTCAACTGTGTGCAGCAAAGCTAGAATGAGGATTTTGGTTTGTGTCTAGGTGTGCCGCTGGTGTACGAAGCCTTTACCTGGGAGCATGGAGTGTTTGTGGGAGCAGCCATGAGGTCTGAGGCCACCGCCGCAGCCGAGCACCAAGGTGGGACATGGACGCTTTGATATTCAGATAATTACTTTTTGTAAAAATGCCAATTAATTACTCCAACATTTTCTTTACAAACACTCACTAATATGTTAGAGAAACTGTGATAAATATTCAGCATGGGTCCTGTACAACCAAGAAACTATGCCCTAAAAACCTCATTATTTTCGCTCTTCCAGGTAAAATCATCATGCACGACCCGTTTGCCATGCGCCCATTCTTTGGCTACAACTTTGGCCAGTACCTGTCCCACTGGCTCAGCATGTCCCAACGCAACAACGCCAAGCTGCCCAAGATCTTCCACGTCAACTGGTTCCGCAAGTCCCCTGAGTTGGGCTTCCTCTGGCCGGGCTTTGGAGACAACATCCGCGTCCTGGATTGGATCTTTCGCAGGCTGACCGGCCAGGCGGGCGCCATGCCGTCGACCGTGGGGTACCTGCCGTGTGAACAATCTCTTGACCTTCGAAACATGAACCAGATTGTGGATCTGGAGCAGCTGTTCCGGTTGGATAAGGGCTTTTGGGAACAGGAGGTGGAGAAGGTGCGGGAGTATTTCACCCAACAGGTCAATGTGGACTTGCCGAACGAGATCGCCAAGCAATTGGATCAGCTGGAGCAACGAGTCAGGCAGATGTGATCAGGAAGTCGAGGGAGATGGAAGCATAGTTGCCCTTAATTTCAATTAAAGACACAAAATTATGCAAATTGCCTTTTTTGAGATTTTGATTATGTTACTATGTCATCCCCATATCAATAATATACTCGCAACTGTTGCAGCTCCCTTCACACTAATATCTGAGACTTCCTGCACATACGCCATGACGAATTCAAGGATAGATGAAGGATTCCATAACTACGCACAATCTATTGAATTTTTTAACAGACTTGTTGTTAAACTAGTAATAGTAGAACAAGTTAACGACGTAGTAACTTCATAAAAGTGGACGTCATAATAGTATTTATTATCAACTTGTAATTATGTTTTTACTTCTTGTAAATGTTTTTACTTTTAAATCTAAATCTATCTTTTTCGGAAAAATGTAATAAAAATCAACTGTATATTATAATTTTGTTGAATTGGAGCCTACTCAGGAATGTCCTTTACTTTGGGAGATTTGTAATAGCACATAGAACGTTCATGGTAGTAAAAGTTTAGCTCAGCCAAACATATTTTTAATACTTTTTTATAATAAATGTTTTATTTTGATTATGTTTTAAGTATTATAATATATTTCTGTTGTATTCACTTGTATTTTGAAACTTGTATTTAGGTAGTTGATATTTATGCTGTGCAATGTCTTAACTTATTGTAAACATTTTGGGCACAGTATAATCGTTTCACTTTTGCAATGACTTCACTTCTGTTTTCAAACGGCTAATTTATTTTTGTACTTGGAAACATGATACAAAATTAAAAAGTATTTATCTTTTCACCTTTTTCTTGTTTTATTTGAGTCATACATTTGACAGTATAACAGTAAACAATAAATGTTTTATCCTGTAAATACTAAAACAATGGACAATCATGTTGCTTGATGTGTTGGTACAGACAACTGAAGAAAGCCGTTTTTGTTCAATGGTGATCCAGATTAGGCACTGAGTATATCACAGCTAAAGCTCTCAAAAAGTTACTTTTGGGGCAAGGAAAAAAAACTAGACTTGCTAAAGATAAAAAGGCACATGAACAACAGCAGAACAACGTTACGCAATTATTGCGGGAGTAAAAAACATGTTCAGTGGATGATAATTGGAGCTGTAAAAAATGTTCACACCACACTTATATAACACATGTATAAACGTATTATTATTGTAACAAAAATGTGTACTTTCCACTGTTTTGATGCTTAACAGGTTAATCTTGCGTTTCCAGAAAAGCAGAATTCTCAAAGATGATCCCGCTAATTCATGAAAGAGTTTAAGATAAAAAGGATATATATTAATTATTTCCCATTGACCTAACAAACACTTTTTGTATATTTTATTAGAAAATATTGTTATAGGGGCGACATTGGCTCATTTGGTAGAGCAATTTTGGGAATATACAGTAGGGCAAAAAAGTATTTAGTCAGCCACCGATTGTGCCAGTTCTCCCACTTAAAATAATGACAGAGGTCTGTAATTTTCATCATAGGTACACTTCAACTGTGAGAGACAGAATGTGAAAAAAAATCCAGGAATTCACATTGTAGGATTTTTAAAGAATTTATTTGTATTATTATGGTGGAAAATAAGTATTTGGTCAATTAAAAACAAGGAAGATCTCTGTCTCTCACAGACCCGTAACTACTTCTTTAAGAAGCTCCTCTGTCCTCCACTCGTTACCTGTATTAATGGCACCTGTTTGAACTCCTTATCTGTATAAAAGACAGCCCAAATGTAGCCCAAAACGACATTTCAACCACTGATAATCTCCTTTGATATGGGGCTCCACGCAAGATCTCATCCCGTGGGGTCAAAATGATCATGAGAACGGTGATCAAATATCCCAGAACCACACGGGGGGACCTGGTGAATGACCTGCAGAGAGCTGGGACCAAAGTAACAAAGGTTACCATCAGTAACACACTACGACGACAGGGAATCAAATCCTGCAGTGCCAGACGTGTCCTCCTGCTGAAGCCAGTGCATGTCCAGGCCCGTCTGAAGTTTGCCAGAGAGCACATGGATGATACAGCAGAGGATTGGGAGAATGTCATGTGGTCAGATGAAACCAAAGGTATCGGTACAAACTCAACTTGTCGTGTTTGGAGGAAGACAAATACTGAGATGCATCCCAAGAACACCATACCTACTGTGAAGCATGGGGGTGGAAACGTCATGCTTTGGGGCTGTTTTTCTGCTAAGGGGAGAGGACGACTGATCCGTATTAAGGAAAGAATTAATGGGGCAATGTATTGTGAGATTTTGAGCCCAAACCTCCTTCCATTGAGCTGAATTTCTGTTATTGACCAAATACTTCCACCATAATTTACAAATAAATTCTTTAAAAATCCTACAATGTGAATTTGATTGTAAGTTCTTTTTTCACATTCTGTCTCTCACAGTTTAAGTGTACCTATGATGAACATTACAGACCTCTGTCATTATTTGAAGTGGGAGAACTTGCACAATTGGTGGCTAACTAAATACTTTTTTTCCCACCTGTACTTCATGATAAAAACTATTTTTTTTTACATATTTTATTTCCGGACCACAGAAAATGCTGTTTTATTGTCACTTTCCATGTTCTTAATTTGTGAATGGAGAGTGTTTTTCAAATCTTTTTTTGTGTGTGCTTTCAGTCAACAAAAAAGTATAAAGAAAGGCCTTATTGTTGTATTTTGTTTAGTTAAACCTGAAGACCTGCTTTTTCAGACCAAAGAAATTTAACTTCTTGGTTCCATCCATGAATGACTGTATCACTAGTTTTCACATGCATGTTTTTCATTCAAATGTATTTAATTTAAACATTCAACATTCAACAAACAGCATACAAATTAAATGGACATACATTGTGTGAAAAGTTGTTGCGCAAATTTGACTTATTTATCTCCAAACCCATTTTTGGCTTTTGTCACATCTTTAGATCAGCTTTTTCAGACAGAATCAGCTCTCAACTCAAAGTGTGAAGTAGTGACCCACAGAGTTCTCTCTGACAAGTAAGCTATGCTAAAGATAACAAGTTTTATAATGAGAAGGAAGGTCTATCGTTGACAATATTTAATGTTTTTGTGGGTACAAGCAGAACATTGTAGGGAGCTTAGCTTTGTAGAACACTTACCTTGTGTATGAACTGTGCTATTCAAATAAACTGGACTTGCCTTTAATTGATACATAACATTTACTAAAGAAAATGTCCCTTGTTGAAACAGTTCCGCTGCTCACTTAGTTTGTGTGTTTGTGTACTGTATTCTCTCCAGTACAATCTCACACTATAGTGATAAGATATGGCTCTGAATGAGGCTTGGCTTTATGATGCAACCGTTCAAAAACATGTTTGTGAGGTGTTGGTCAGATGTGCACAAGCATCAGGAATCATTCACTCGTCTGTCCAGCAGCAGAGGGGCAACATTAGCTTACTCATAATGTCTGACTGCGCATATTTTGTAAAATCATCTGTTTTGGACTTTTACCCACCATGTTACAACAGCTGTTGTTGTTCCTTCATCAATGATAGACATTGGGTTCAGGAAACTAATCTCAACTAGCAAGTTGAGATTAGCAACTAAAACGGCGTACTTCCACTTGCGGAACATCGCTAAAATCAGGAATTTTCTTCCTAAAAGTGACGCGGAAAAACGTATTCACGCTTTTGTCACCTCAAGACTTGACTACTGTAACGCTTTATTGGCAGCATACCCTAAAACTTCTTTGAAGAGCTTCCAGCTCGTTCAGAATACAGCAGCTAGGATCTTAACAGGTACCAAAAGGAGGGAGCACATAACTCCGGTGTTAAAATCACTCCACTGGCTCCCTGTGGAGTACAGAATAAAGTTTAAAATCCTTCTCTTAACATATAAAGCCATAAATGGCTAGGTTCCTTCCTATCTCCAAGACACGTTAGTGTTATGTCAACCAAGTTGAGCGTTGCGCTCACAAAACGCCAGACGTTCCTAAGGTCTCAAAAATCACTGTTGGCGGCAGAGCGTTTAGCTACCAAGCTCCTTTAATGTGGAATCAGCTTCCCATTTATGTTAAGGAAGCAGATACGGTCTCCACATTCAAGGCCAGGCTTAAAGCACTCTACTTTAATTTAGCATATAATTAGGTAATATATAATATATGGTGTATATATTATATATGCTGTATTATGTTATATATTATGTTATATATTATACAATATATGTATTATGTTGTGTGTTATGTTGTATCTTATGTTATATATTATGCTGTATGTAATGTTATGTATTATATATATATAATATGTATGGTATATATGATATATAATATATAATTAGGTTTGCCTGGATCGGTTTGCACACTTGGTGTGCAATCCATGAATCTTGGTGCTGTAGCCTAGGCTGGCCTAGCCGTGGCTGCTGCTGTCTCACCTCCTTTCAGATACGCTCTCTTTATTCAAGGCTAGGTTTAAAACAGTCCTCTTTAGTTTAGCATATGGCTAGGAAGGTAAGACTCAGGGAAGGCTAAACTCAGTCAAGTCAAGCTACATAGGGAGTCAGTTTGCTGGGAGAAGTATGGTAACTTGAGCACTATCCTCTCCTCCTTCCTACTTTACCTGTTTAGCATTATCAGGATTTTGACTGTAGTTTGTTCATTGCTATTCACCCGTTGTCCCATTGTCTGTGTCATGGTACAATGACGGGATCTCTGAGCCTGGTCTCCTCCATCTACACCTGCGGACTGCCCTGCCCGACCCGCCTGGGAGTGCTTCAGTCCTGAACCGGACCTGTCCACGTTCAGCGGCCACTGGTTCACGTCCTGTAGCTAGCTTAGGTCCTAGATCAATAGCCTGTCCGTCCGGAGGAGCGGATCCCTTTCTCAAATGGGTCTCCCTCCCTGTGGGTTTCCCTAGTTCTCCCCGAGGTTTCTCACTTTTTCCCACTGGGTTTTTTAAGACTTTTCCCTTGTCGATGCAGGAGGGTCTTGTTGAACAGTTAGTGAACCACATTTGTATCTCTGCTCTATAAGAGGATTCAT